TGTTTATATTCCTGTAAATGAACGGAATCGTTAATATACTATTTGTATATTAAATTATATAAATATATATAAATAAAAAACATATTTTAATTTATTTAATGAATGAGTTTGATCAAATATATGTTCGGTTTGTTTATATTTATGAATAAATTTGTTTATTAATTCATATATAAACTCGTTTCTTAGTTCATTTATTAAAATATAACATTTGTGCCAAATTATTCTTAAAATATTTTTTAGGACGTTTTGCCTCTTCAAAGTTCTCGTTTACTCTAAAATGTTATCTCCAATAAAAAAAAATTCGATGGCAAATCAAAAAATGACACATTACCTCTTAATTTTTATTTTTTTATCTGAATAAATAAAAATAATTAAAAATAATAAAATAACAATATACCAAAATTACTCCTCTTTCCCTCTCCCTCCACCGTAACATCGCCATCCCTTTCCTTAACCCCAACACCTATGTTTTTCCCTTTCTCCATTTTCCTCCATCTCTCTTCGGCTTTCTTTACCCTCTCCATCACTCCGTACAACTCCATTAATGTTATATACTTCGTTCGTCCCTATGCTTTTTTTTGAAAGCTAAATTTTTGGGATGGGATCAATGATTATGATGCAAAAAAATAATGGTGAATCCAAATGGGTTTTGGCGATGGAACAGAGAAGATGGGGAGCAGGTAAGATCGGGAGATTGATAAGGGTGATGAGCTTAATTTTGGGTTAGAAAAGCAATAATGGAAGGCAATTTTTGACAAGAAGATTCGTAGCCCTCAACGACGTCAAGAACCTGTTCGATAATTTACTTCAATGATAGACCAATCATCTTCTCTAACGTTTTCTTTACTGTCTCCTCCTTCTTTGACATATAATTACTATAATTAATATAATTATTAGTAAATAATTTTTTAATTTGGACCATTTTTGTTCAAACAAACCGTATGGTACCGGAGAAGACCGAATGTAATCACCAATTTTCAGTCTAGTATCAAGCCCAAAGTTTGACCCGAATTCGACCCGGGAATTGACCTGATCCGGTAGATCAGTGATTTCTCCACTACCACCGAATGCTTCACTACCACCCAATTTCAACTGGAATCACAGAACAAACAATGATACCAACTATTTTGACTTTAAACATTTTTGAAGAAAAAAACAAAAAAAAAGAAAGAAAAACAAGTGAAAAATAATGTAAATCAGGCTATATAAACTCGAATATAAAATGTAATAGAGGGGTTGAATTTAGATTCAAAAATCAATAAAAGCAAAAAGAAAAATCAAAGATTTTTTTGGTATTTACGTTTTATTTTATTTTTTATTAGATTTTAAAACAAAAAATAATAACAAAAAAAGGGAAAAATGTATTTTACCGTTCTGTCGGATCCTCGCCGGCGTTTGAAGGGTCGGTTCGCCGATCCGAACGGTGAGGAGGAGCGTCTCGAAAAGGGGAGCAGTATACTGAAAATTGGGCCCGAACCAACGGTGGACGAAGGAGATCGAAGCCCAGGAAAATCAAGCGGTCTTTGGCCATTTCACGACGATCGGATCGTCCCCTGACAAAACAGAGCCTAGATCCGTGACCACTGTGATGAGACGAACAAGCCGAAATTTTAGTGCCCAATGGTCACCGGATACGGCAACGGATTCTAGGGAGAGATCCCCTCTATCTCGTTTTTTTTAAAAAACAAAATGAAAAATGAAATTAAAAAAAAAACTAAAATGTTTGGTATTTATAGGATTTTAGGGGTAAATTGCGTTTTAAATCCCTTATATTTGCATGCATTTTGGTCACCTGTAGGGACCAAAATTGGTATTTTACCTTTCTGTTATGCATGCTTTATATTTTGGTTTATTCACTGTTTTAGTCCCCCAAACTTTATCGTATTTTTACATTTTGGTCACTGAACTTTTTGTTTCTAATTTATTGTAATTTTATTATTCTGTTTGGTTTTGTTTTAATTTAGTCACCATTAGTTTTTAATTTAGTTACTGTTATTTTAATTTGATCATTGTTTATTTATTATTTAGTTATTAATTTTTATTTTCTTGCATTTTAGTCAATGTAATTAGATTTTTATTATAATTAGGTCCTTATATATGTTTTAGTTTATATTTTTATATATATTTTTGGTTGTTTTAACTATTTTTATTATTTGTTATTTTAATTATTTTTAAGTTTATTTTGTTTCATAATTTCAATTTTCTAGATTTAGTTTTTAAATTAGATTAATACTCGAATTAGGTTAGAAATTAGGCAGACACTTTAGTTTAATTGGGGAACAATTCGATTCAAGTTTTCACAATAAAAAGCCCGATTATTTGAATTGATTGTTCGAATCTTTAAAATATCTTAATATATTTTATTTCTTAAAAAAAGATTTAATAATTATTTAAAATCAAATAGGATTAATATTAGAGCCTACCTTTTTAAATTTGAGCCCTTAAGTTCCTTAATTTATTTTTAGTAAAATTAAGATTAAATAAAATTTGGCTTGATTGCATTGTTTTTAAAACTTAAGGCACTGTTCACTTATTAAGGAGTTAATAGTATATCCTCCGTGATCGTGCTCAGGGGGTGACTACTGGTAATTCCCTAAATAAGTCGACATCCTTTTCAAAACCACATCATGTTTTCTAAAAACGAGACAATGTTCTCTTATTAGACACAATAGCTGATCTCCCGTAATTACGCTCGGGGGAAAATGCTATCGGTATCGATAAACGAACACTGTTTTTTAACTTTGCATCCTTAATGATTTTTAAGTTAAATTAAGATCGAACTCAAAATCTCCTATTTTAAATATAGGGTAATCAACTAGGTACTAATTTTTGGGTGCTTGTGGGGGTTCTAATCCTTCCCCACGCATAACCGACTCCCGAACCTGATTTTTGGATTTTTAGTAGACCCCACAGTATTTTATTACAATAAAATGTTTTATTAAAATCATCCGATTTTTACGGTGTTCCAATCGCACATTAACTGATTGGTGGCAGCTCCTCACATTTCGAAACGATTTTCAAAGAGAAAACCCCCGAGTCAATATCGGTATTTCCCCGCCCGGGCGAAAAACGATGTCAACACCAAAGTATGCAACAAAGAGAGGTCGAGGCAAACAATGATGAAGATGCTAAAATCATGGATGTCATTGCTATGCCGAGCTAGTAACGACATTGACATGCCGGTGTTGAGCATAACCGAAAGATCCGAGCTCGGAAAGATATTGGAAGATGCGGTCAATATGCTACGACACGAGAAACAAGAGCAAGTCCTTTCCCTTTGGCTTCATCATTTCTCGTATTGTCCGTCCTCCGACTGGCCGAACTTCCATGATTCATTCATAGTTCTGTTCATTCATAAATGTAACTAATATGATTTTGGATTTTATTTGATCATTTGATTTTATAAGGTAATTATATGTCAAAGCATAGAGATGAAAAACAAGGATTATTTTTATTAATGAAAAAAAAATGTTGGGGGTTACGGAAAGGGATAGTGATGTTACAGTGGAGGGGAGGGAAAGAGGGTAACTTTGTTATATAATTTTTTATTTATTTAAATAAAGAAAATAAAAATTAAGAGGTGGTATGTCATGTTTTGATTGGTTACTGAAGTTTTTTTTTAACGAAGTTAACGTTTTGGGTTAAACGAGATAACAATTTAAACTTTAGGGGTAAAACGTCTCGAAAATACTTTAGGAGGTAACTCGAGATAAATGGTATATTTTAGAGGCAATGCTACAGTTAAACCTAAAATTTCATATTTTATTATAAAAATATTTATTTTATTTTATTTATATGTAATATAATTATTAATGTTTATATTTGATTATTGGGTAAACTACATATTTAGTACCTAAACTATTAGTTTTAGTACCAAAACTTTTAATTTTTTTTCAAAACCATACCTAATGTTTAATTTAGTGCCCCATTGTTAAAACCTTAACGTGTTTAATATCTAAACTATCAGTTTTGGTCTATCTTATTGCCTAAACTTTCAATTTTCATCAAACTTAACATTAAATTTTGAACATGATACTAAAATGAAACAAAAACTAACTTTAGGTATGGTTTTAAAAAAATTGAAAGTTTATATATTAGAATGGACCAAAATTGATAGTTTAGGTATTAAATGCATAATTTACCCTTAATTATTTTATATATAAAAATTTTAGGATTATTTTAATTATTGTTTAATTTTTTAAATATTCAGGAACATATTCAATTATTCATAGATATATTTATAAATATATTCATTTATAAATATATTCATTTAATGTTCGCGGTTATGTCAAATGAACATGTTTGTAAATATTTTAAATAAATGATCATGAATATAATAATTTTTTTTATAAAAAATAAATCAATATAAACAAATTTTTACTTGACAATTAGAGAGCTGCCAAAAAAGTAAACTATACCGGATATCATTGAATTTTCGGTCTAATATCATTTATACTATATAATTTTTAATTTTTTCAATTATAGTATTAAACTTTGATTTATGTTTTAATTATATCACTAAGTTAGTAAATTGTTAATGATACGGTGACCTGACTTACAATTGTGGACTTGGATATCGCACAAAAAATACCACTTTGGTGCGATTATTTAATGTCAAAAAAGTCTAAAAATAGATGCCATTTTGTTAGGAAAAATTACTATTAAAATATTATATTTGGAATGATTCAAATTCTAATCCTTAAGAAATAAAGGTGAGAGCTTAACCAATAAGCTAATTTAAATTTTTATTACATTCTGATAAAAATAATATAGATATCAAACTACAATTGAGATTATTGATAATATGTTCCAAAATTAAAATATTATTTATAATATAGGTGTATTATAAATAATACCAATGTATACAAATAGTTTTCTTCAAGTCTAGGAGATGGGGTGGCATTGTTTTAATGTTTGAATATTAATTAAAAGTAGGAGTCCTGCTAGTAGAGAAAGAATATGTCCTCGCTTCCATATTTCGGAATAAAGCCATCAGCTTTATAAATTTAATTTATAAACCCAAAACATCAATGGCGACTCAGCTCCTGAGACGACGAGTGACTCAGATCCTTTCCCATGGTAGCCCTAAACCTATCTCCTTAGCCAGACCTTTCTCTTCGACCACCGATACCATCCGAGCCACTCTCTTTCCAGGCGATGGAATCGGCCCCGAGATCGCCGAGTCCGTCAAACAGGTTCCCGCTTTCTCACCATTTTATTTTCTTTTTAGTTTTTCTAAATTTCAATTGCATCGAATTGTCGCTTGTAAAGTCTCAGTTTTGTATTTGCATCCATGAATTGAATCTTTAGTGTTAAAAAATTAAAATTAACTTCGAAAAGTTTTTGATTTAGGCACTAACTGTCAATAACTAGCTGTTTCTAATTTGTAAGCTGATCTATAGAATAAAAATAGATAAAAGTTTGTATAAGGAGAAGTCTTTATCAAGACCTTTTATTATTTACTTTCAGTGAAATTTTGGTTGAAACTGAATAATTTTATTTGATTTAGGTTTTTAGAACTGCTGAAGTGCCAATTGAATGGGAAGAACATTATGTCGGAGACCAAGTTGATCCAAGAACTCAAAGCTTTCTAACTTGGGAAAGTCTAGAATCAGTAAGAAAGAATCGGGTAGGCTTGAAAGGTCCAATGGCTACTCCTATTGGTAAAGGTCATCGGTCTTTGAACCTTACTCTAAGGAAAGAACTTAATCTTTATGCCAATGTCAGGCCATGTTATAGTCTCCCGGGTTATAAGACTCGCTACGATGATGTAAACCTTATCACTATTCGTGAAAACACTGAAGGGGAGTACAGTGGACTTGAGCATCAAGTAAGTTTGTTTTTCATAATTGATGTGCAGTTTGATGGATGGGGTATTCTTTATAAATATAACTATTCTTTTGCTTTGCATCTAGGTGGTGAGAGGTGTGGTTGAAAGTCTAAAGATTATTACTCGTCAGGCGAGTTTAAGGGTGGCTGAATATGCTTTTCATTATGCTAAGACCCATGGAAGAGAGAGAGTATCTGCTATTCATAAAGCCAATATTATGCAGAAAACAGACGGTCTTTTTCTTAAGGTCTTTCAATTCGAATGCCTATTTTAATAGCTCATTAAATTTTTGGAACACCATATATTAAGATTGGTTTACTTGTCTTTTTTCAGTGTTGTCGTGAAGTTGCAGAGAAATACCCCGAGATAACTTATGAGGAAGTAGTCATTGACAACTGCTGTATGATGGTATGATAAATTTCCTCCTGTGAACATTATAATGCTTTCTTTTTCTCATTAATGACAGGAGGCTTAGATAACAGATTTTGAATAAGTTACTGTAGGTGCTACCTTTCTGCTTGTATTACATTTGACAAATGACAAGATGGAGTGACCAAATTAAGAGGCCTAAGCCATGAAATTAAGAGACAACAGTTCTATAATGAGGACCAATGATATCTTTGACAACCAAGCCTTGAATCTCTTTTGGAGAAGCACCATAGATTGGTGTTTGAAAGTGTTGAGAATTTGCCAATTTGGTCATTCCATTGGTTATCATATTGCCTTTCTCGTGCATTACACTAACACCTAGATACTTCCCCTATGTGTCTACTGCCTGAAAGCGTTGTCTAGTACTAATCATGTTTCTCAGCTCTAGTTTAGTATTTAGATATAAATAAATTTGAGTTTTTCTCTTACTAACCTTATGTCTGGTCCGGAGAAGTGACCAAATTCAAATAAAATTGAATCAATGGCCTTTGTCTGAACTATATCAACCTTGGCATAAAGAATCAACTCATCAGCAAAAAACAAGTGAGGAAGTGGGGATCCATTCTAGGTCGAAAAGGTTTCCAAGCACCCTCACCAACAGGAGTTACACTACCATCAACAGACTCTGAATCTATCATTACATCATCCGTCACAGATATTGCCGCTAGCATCTGGTGGTTTCTCATCACGCTGACGAGGTTTCTTGCCTATTTTCTTCAAAGCTTTCCATAGGGTTAACCATGGAAGATTATTAGAAAACCAATCGGTACCTTGTGTCAACTGGGAACAAAATTAATGAAAAAAGAATCGCGAAGATCTAAAGCAGAAAGGATGGTTGTGGCTGCTGATTTCACTCTCAAAAAATCCTTTGTTCTTTTCTGCCCATTATTGGATTTTAGAACAAAAAAAAGTTTAATTTGTGCATTTCATCTTTTTATTGAAGTTGAGACTAATATCCAACTAACTATTTTTTTTTGCCATTTGTAGCTTGTGAAGAATCCAGCTCTCTTTGATGTATTGGTGATGCCTAACCTCTATGGTGACATTATCAGTGACCTTTGTGCTGGATTGATTGGGGGTTTGGGCTTAACACCAAGGTAACTACCTCTACCTAATGATCGTAGGACATATCCATCTCAATGGTTTTACAGCATAGACTCTTTGTGCAGTTGCAATATCGGCGAGGGGGGAATAGCACTTGCTGAAGCTGTTCATGGTTCAGCACCTGATATCGCGGGAAAGGTTGGTCTTCAAATCTATCCTAGGACTTATAATTGTCATTTTGCATACACATGGTGCAGTTGTGAAAAATGATGTATGATGGTACATCTAGAGATTGTTACTCCCGTATTGCTTTAGTGGGTACAAAGAAAATCTTAATAGTTGAGAGTTGAGCTGGGTTTCTTGAGATATCGTTAAGGTATGTCAAGGTCGATGAACATGTAACTGTATGCACGTTTATGCTAATTGTAAAGCTATCTATGGTTTAAATCTTGGATATCCTTGGTGATTTTTGAGACTGGGTTAAGCTTCACGGCATGCTTGATTATTAGAACTTATAGATTATGGGGAAAAAAGAGAGAAAAAAACCCCAAATTATTATATATGTTTGCCTGCCATGATCCTTTCTTTTTTTCATTGTGCAATTTCTTTTCCCATGGCACCAGCTAATTATTTGTATTGTTGACGTTGTTTAGAATATGGCAAATCCAACTGCATTACTATTGAGTTCGGTCTCAATGTTGCACCACTTGAACCTCCATGACAAGGCTGATAGGATTCAGGATGCCATTCTCAACACAATCGCAGAGGGTAAGTACCGAACTGCTGATCTCGGTGGCACGTCAACAACAACCAATTTTACTAAGGCTATTTGCGATCACCTTTAAAGTTTGTTCTTTGAAGCATTTCTAGTTTTGCATTGGATTTCTTTGCAATTTCTTCGTTATGCTTTCCCTCGGCTTATAAATGTTTTCTTCTCTTAATAAAATCACATCCGCGTTGATGAGCTATGGAGTTCATCTTCTTAACTTATCTTCAGCCATGATAAACATATGGCATTATTTAAAATTCATTAAACATAGTTTGATAAACTTGTTACTTATATTTTGGCCTATGGCCATTTAGTAGTATTGAACTCGAAATCTGTTGGAATGACGATATAATCCGAACGGGTTATATCTTGAACTTTATATTTCTCAACTTCGAGTAATATATATTCTTTCTTTTACGCATCTTCCTACGACTGAGTTTCAACGATTGTCATATATGGAATTGTTTGTTCCCCAAATCAAAGTTATGGAAAACTAATGTAGTAATATTAGTAGTAAAAAGAGAATGTTGTTGTTCTTAGAGAATTTGAATTTGAATAGTTGCGTTTGTAGAGTGATTCTATTAACAATAGACTAATAAAAATTCTAAAAGATATTATCTTATAATACCCTCAAATTTTTAAAATAAAAATCAAAGTTATGAAATATATTAGCTTTGATGTTTTAGAAAAATCAAACAGTACCTTGTAAACATTGTCTTCATAGAAGTTCTTTTGACAGATTTACATATGAACATGTAATTTGGACGGTCAACAACTATGGTTAAATTTTCACTCAAAAATTGCATGTTATATTTGATCACATACATACACCATCCCTTTCATTTTCTTTTGAGGGAATAAAAAATTAAAATTCGATTCTTTTGGTTTTGTTTTGTCAATAAATTCAACTATATGGTATTTATTTAATATAATCAAAGTGTAGGTTTAAATATTTAATAAAAGAACAAAAATGGAGGAGAAAGAGAAAAAAATCTTAGTTTGATTGAAGTTAAACAGTGATTACAATAATCACCTACCACAGAGAAGAAAAATCTAAGGTAGATTTTATTTATAATTTTTATAACAATAATAATAATAATAATTTTATTAAAGAGTGGTTCTTGGATGGAGCTTACTGGGTTGGTAAGATGGGGACGCGGTGGGGCCTATAAACATGGAGTAACGCGAACCATTTTCACCACAACCGAGATCTGAATATCACCTAGTACTCTCTCTCACTTCGCTTCGTCTCTCATCCTTCTTTTCTCATTGACCAAACAACAGCCGACAACCCCTCGAGAAAATGGCGTATGGAGGGATTCTCCTGGGGATGGGTAATCCTCTCCTTGACATTTCGGCTGTCGAGGACGACGAGTTCTTGAAAAACTACGGTTTTCAATTTTTTTAATTGCTTCCGCTTTATGAGATTTGGTTTTTTTGTTGTTTTTGGGACTTGGGTTTAGTTCCTTATGTGGAATCTGATCTGGTTTTTGTTTTGTTTTCTTGTTTCCGATATGACATCAAGTTGAAAAACGCAATTTTAGCTGAGGAGAAGCACCTTCTCATGTAAGCAAAAAAGACAAAAAAAATAGTATAAATCCATATTAATTCTAACTGTGATTGATATTTATGATTTTTTCTTTCTTTCTATTAGACCCTTGCTTCACCTGGCATGCGTGCGTGTATACATGGGCTAGAGCTAAGTTTCTATTCACTCCCATCCTTCAATTAATATGTTCTTTCAATCTTTTTGACTCCCCTAATTGTTGATTTACTTGTTTAGCTAGTTATCATGCATATAGACTATTTGATGGTTTATCTACATGAAAAAAAAACTGTTTGTGTTCCTTTGTAGTTTAGTAGTAAATTAGTAAGACTTAGACAGTTAAACACCTTCAATAAAGAATAATTTTGAACCTATGACCAAAAGGTTTGAATAGTGGTTTGTTTTTACATGCTGACAATCCAATCTTTAGGGAGAAGACGACTTTTCTGATGCAGATCCTGAACCAGTTTTCTGAAGTAGAGGTAATCTCTTTCATGGTTCTTCTGAAGGATAGAGCTTTTAGTGGCTTGATGTAATTGTTTCAAAATGATGCGATCTGTTGGATGAGAAGCTGGGTTTTAAGTATGATGTAGTTGAACATTATATGTATAGACATCTTTTTTTGTCCGGATCAGAAAATATTATTATTATTATTATTATTATTATTATTATTAATATTACAATTACATTTTGTGCAGGTTCCATAAGCAATCTCAATCCCGAGCCTAATACAAAGGACTCATATAGGATTACAGCAGTTAAATCCTTGAGTCCATTGAAGATCTGACCCGATATCTGACTTGGAGTTGACCCGAACCGATTGTTTTCCTAGTCGCACACCGCTGTCGTCGTCACCAAAACTTGCGAATAGTACACTCAAGTTGTCATAAACAGTAAACAAACCTTCTAAATTCAAACAATCATTTTAAATATCTCATAATTATGAAAAATCGGAGTTTACCTAATAACTTAATATCATACCCCAAGTCAAAAACCCTGTCCTACCACTATCATCATCTCACCTAAACCACTACATCATTAAAAAAATAAACTCACCTAATTACCTAACACACCTAAATAGTTTGATTTTCTTTCTTTGATTTATGGTGAGATGATAATAATGGTAGGGTATGATTTATGTGGGTTAGGTAATTAGGTGAGTTTGTTTTTTTAATGGTGTAGTGGTTTATGTGAGATGATCATAGTGATAGGATAGTATTTTTGACTTGGGATATGATATTAGGTGATTAGGTTAGGTAAATCCCGATTTTTCGGGATTTTGAGATATTTTAAAATAACTGTTTGAATTTAGGGGGTTTGTTTACTGTTTATGACAATTTGAGTGTACTGTTCGTAGGTCTTGGTGACGACGATAACGGTGTGCGACTGGGGAAACGATCGGTTCGGGTCAACTCCGAGTCGGATATCGAGCCATGTCAGATCTTCAGTGGGCTGAGGGATTTAACTACTGTAATACTATACCGAAGTCAAAAACTCTACTCTACCACTATTATCATCTCACCTAAACCACTATAACATTAAAAAAAACCCACCTAAACCTATCCCTTTACAATAAATCAATAAATTCTTTCTCTTTTTTGACTAAAATCTTCGGTGTATAAATGCACTATCAAAAAAACACCTAACCTTGTTGAATTTTCAACAATTGTTAGTCACCAATCAAATCTTCAAGTGGGCGATGGTTAAAAATTAATTTTTGGTGGTCAACAATTGTTGGAAATTCAACAATGTTAGGTGTTTTTTCGGTGATGCATTTATGCACCGAAAATTTTAATTAAAAAAGTGGAAGATTTTGTTGATTTATTGTAAAGGGATATGTTTATGTGGATTAGGTAATTAGGTGGTTTTTTTAATGGTGTAGTGGTTTAGGTGAGATGATGATAGTGATAGGGTAGGGTTTTTGACTTGGGTATGGTATTACATCAGTTAAACCTCTCAGCCTACTGAAGATCCGACTCGGCCCGATATTCGATTCGGAGTTGACCCGAACCGGTTGTTTCCCTAGTCGCATACCGCTGTCGCCGTCACTAAGACCTGCAAACAGTGCACTCAAGTTATCATCAACAGTAAATAAATCATCAAATTCAAACAATCATTTTAAAATATCTCATAATCCTAAAAAATCAGAGTTTACCTAACCTAATCACCTAATATCACACCCAAATCAAAAACACTATCCTATTATTATCATCATCTTATTTAAACCACTACACTATTAAAAAAACAAACTTACTTAATTATCTAAACCCTACCCTGCCACTATTATCATTTCACCATAAAGAAAATGTTTACCATACCCTAACCTACTCAAATGGTTTGATTTTCCTCCCTTCTTTATGGTGAGATGATAATAGTGGTAGGGTGTAGGTGGGTTTGTTTTTTTTAATGTTGTAGTGGTTTAGATGAGATGATGACTTGGGGTATGGTATTAGGTGATTAGGTTTGGTAAATCCCGATTTTTCAGGATTATGAGATATTTTAAAATGATTGTTTGAATTTGGGGGTTTTGTTTACTGTTGATGACAACTTGAGTGCACTATTCGCAGGTCTTGGTGACGGTGACAGCGGTGTGCGACTGGAGAAACGACCAGTTTGGGTCAGTTTCGAGTCGGATATCGGGCTAGGTCGGATCTTCAGTGGGCTGAGGGATTTAACTGATGTAATACTATACCCCAAGTCAAAAACCCTACCCTACCACTATCATCATCTCACCTAAATTACTATATCATAAAAAAAACAAATTACTTAATTACCTAATCCACCTAAATCCTATCTTACCACTATTATCATCTTACCATAAATCAAGGGAGGAAAATCAAATGTTAAAAAGTCAAGTGACCAGCTTGTGAAAGTTAATGGTTAAACTTTCGGTGATCTAATTTGGCAGCATGATTTTATTGAAATTTTGTAAGGAAAAATTATCAAATTAGTCCATGTACTTTAGGATATTTACAAGATTAGTCTTTAAGCTTTAATTATAAATACCCTAATTCATTTAGCTTCAAAATCATTCCAAATAATATAAGGTAAAAATCATAGGTAAAGTTAGAAGAATTTTACTATTAGAAAATAGGAATTACAATTTCTCTCGATCTAACAAGGAGAAAACAATAACAATTCTCTCTTGATAAAAAAGAGAACAATTCTCAAAAAACCTCTTTAAATTCTCTAGTATCGGAAGAAAGCTAGAATGATTTAGGATGATTTTGAATCTAAATGAGTTAGGGTATTTATAGTTGTAGCTTAAGAACTAATCTTGTAAATACCCTAAAATATAAGGAATAAATTTGATAATTTTCCCTTACCAAATTTCAACAAAATCATGTTGCCAAATTGGATCACCGAAAGTTTAGCCATTAATTTTCACAAGTTGGCCACTTGGTGGCCACTTGACTTTTCAACATTTGATTTTCCTCCCTTGCTTTATGGTGAGATGATAATAGTGGTAGGGTAGGGTTTAAGTGAGTTAGGTAATTAAGTAGATTTGTTTTTTTTAATGGTGTAGTGATTTAGGTGAGATGATGATAGTGGTAGGGTATGGTTTTTGACTTGGGGTGGTGATTAGGTTAGGTAAACTCTGATTTTTCGGGATTATGAGATTTTAAAATGGTTGTTTGAATTTGGGGAGTTTGTTTATTGTTGATGACAACTTGAGTGCACTGTTCGCAGGTTTTAGTGACGACGGTGTGCGACTGGGGAAACGACCGGTT